ATCGCCTGGTCGTATGAATCTGTGCCGGTTAACAAATCGTCGACGTATAAGTCCCGTTTAAGAACGGTTGCTGCGGTTGGAAATCTATGGCGTTCGTCCTCTGCAAGTTGATGTATGCACCTAATCGCCAAATATGGAGCCGCTGATAGCCCGAACGTGACCGTGTTTAATTCGAATGACTTGATGTCATTATTATCGCGCCATAGAATTCGTTGATAACGGCGATCTTCTTGTCGAACGAGGAATTGTCGATACATCTTTTCGATATCACCGGTTAAAACGTACGTGTGCATTCTAAAACGTATCAATAACGAAATAATGTCAGCTTGTATTGTTGGTCCAGTTAACAATGTATCGTTTAATGATAGGCCGCTACTCGATTTCGCTGATCCGTCGAAGACGACGCGCACTTTCGTGGTGGTACTGGACGGTTTGATGACGGCATGATGTGGCAGGTAAAAACCTTCGGAATCAAGCGATTCTACCTGACTCATGTGCCCGAGATCAAGATATTCTTGAATAACGCTTGCATACTGTTGTTTTAATTCTAGATCGCGTTTGAATTTCCTTTCTAACGATACAAATCGATTGAGAGCGCGTGAACGAGATTCTCCGAGTTGAGCTATTTTATTATTGAACGGCAAAGCAACGATATAGCGTCCAGATTTATCCCGAGTTATATTATCTTTAAAATGATGTTCGCAATCCTGTTCTTCTGATGAAAAATGTCGTAACTGCGGACCCTCTTCTAATTCCCAGAATTTCCTAAGGTCAAAACTTGGAGTCGCGAGGAATGTTCGATGCGGCGCGCATGATGTCTTTGGTAAACTCCCCCCGATGATCCATCCAAATTGCGTTTTTTGGAGGACTAAATCCGGTCCACTTTGAGAGGCAAGATTATGTTGACCGATACTCAACGATGACAATGCAGGACCGGTGCCAATGAGCAAGTCTATTGGTGCTGGACGATGAAAAGTTGGATCCGCCAATTTAAGATTCGCAGGAATCTGTATCTTAGTGCGGTCGATCTGTTGATCCGGAGTCGGTCCCGAGATTCGTGGTATCGTGAAAAACGTGAGATGACGTTTGAAATTTGAAAGCCGAGATTTGATAGTTGTCGAAACGATTTTGTGCGTAATTGTATTGAGTTGATTCAATACTTCGATGGTAGTCGTCTGCTGTTTTGTGGGAAGCCGTAATTTTGATGCGAGGTTTTCGGTGATAAAATTTGCGCTCGAACATGTGTCGATCAATGTTCTGCATTCGATTGGGTTCTGGTCGCGATCTAA